ACAGTCTCTCAACTATTGCACAAATCACTAAATACCAACATTTATTAGCCAAATAAATGCAAGACATTAAATACAATAACAAATGCAGATAACAATAAATATTTTGACATTAAAAAGCAAACATTAAATTTTCCTCAATCATCTCAACATCAAAAGATTTAGCTCACACAATTTTATTTTATTTTTCAAAAATGGAGAAATACATCACAAAATAGAGAAAGTAAAGGATGAAAATCAAGATAATAGGTAGAATCTGTCCCTTGGGTGGATTTTTGAAGCAATGCAATGGATTGGCCTTGATTTTTCCTAATTTCTTCCCACCTTTGCTTGGATTTTATTCCCCTTTTGTTGCCTCTTTTTCTCTACTCCTTAGGTATTGAATGGGCATGTAGAGAATGGGCACAAAATGGCTGAGAAGTGATATACGCCTTCAAAATCATCCCCAAGAATTGCATAAGAAAGTCCTCGGAGGAAAATTGAGAAAGCATACAGGTCCCTCTATCCCAAAGCCTGAACACATGCCCAGGCTTGGCTTAAACAAGTGCCCAGTGAGAGAATTTGTTTTTTACAATTAGTTGAGACACGAAGGCACGTGCCTCACTTGGGATCGGGCAAGTGCCCAACTCCTATTTTCTTCTCTTTGCATTTCAGTTCTCTATCTAATTGTGATCCAAGTCCCTCGAGGTTGGTTTAGCTCATTTTAGCCATCGAATTTCGACTTTTATATCATTTTTTCCTTGCATAAATTGCATCCAAGGTCTTTAAACTTTCAACATTTGTGCAATTTGGTCCCATAATTAATATTTATGTTCGATTTTAGTCATTTTTCTCTTCCTTTTGCTTTTTATATCCTTTATTTGGGATTTTCACCTAAATATAAAAGTAAATGTTACCTAATTGCGAGTTGAATTTCATTTATTTAATCAATAGTTGCTTGAATTAAGTGCCTAATAACTGTGTAAAAACACACTTATTAGCAGGTATCATCTAAATGTCCATAAGGAATTTCTTACGCTGTTACGCTTCTTTAGTAGATTCACAAGCTACCATGTACTTAGCCTCCATAATGTAATCAACAGTGCATTATTACTTGATGCTTCTCCATATAATAGCCCCACCACCTAGTGTAAACAGACTTTCAAGTGTCTTTATCAGCCTAAAAGATGGAATCAATATAACCCACCAGAATAAGCTCTCGTGAAGGGTAAATTAGCATATAATTCCTTATTCCTCGAAGGTATTTAAGAATATGCTTTAAAGGTATTGAATGTTCAGATCCAGGTTTAGATTAATAATGACCTAGGGTAGACTCCGTTCAACATTGAGCTCGTGAGCTCAAGGGGCTAGCAAGCTCACCCACGAGCCCCTATGTTTTTTAATTTTTTATTCATTTATTCGGACTAGGGACTGATTACCTATTTTTTGAGCAAACGGAGTTGACATTGTACCCAAATAAATTTTTACATATTAAATTTGTTTTAAAAACTGTATATTATCAAGCAAATAATAAATTATGACGAATTTAAATATCATTTACCTGATAAAACGCAATCTGGGTATATTGATTTTGGACTCAATACTCAACGTCTTGTCAATCATTTATACACATTAGACTTTCTAATATGTCATTTTTGAGTGGTAATCTGAACTCAAACAAAAATCGACCACTTGGACTAAAAGTAGACTTCGAAGTTACATATACTAATCAGAGGTGTTAATAGATTACGTGCAATAATAGAAATAACTGGATATATTCATTCGTAACTTCTTTAAAAATCAAGTAAATCTATTGCCATTACATAAGCTGGTTTTTATGGTTCCAAGCGTTTGATGGCTAAAATATCTATGTAATTCTTTAGGTATTCCATTTGGACCTATGTCCAATTGACTTTGATTATATGAAAGATGATAGACTAGAAGAACTACATTAAATATTTCATCCCTAATATCTGTGAATAAATTTAGTAATTTTTACTATTTTGTTTCAAAATTACCGATAAAGGTGGGTGTGGAGGGCACATGTCTAACATCCATACCCAATCTTAGTGCATAAAATTCATGCTTTTCAGTTAAAGCCTTCTCTATTAGAATATGTAATTAGAGCATCAAAATTTAATGCAATTGAAATTTTTCGTATATCCATTTTTGTACCTTATAAATTATATGTAAAGTCCATTGCATAAGTTTAAAAATATAATAATAATATAAGTAAGTCTTCTCAATATTTTTCAAATTTTGTTTCCACGGCACATAATATATTATTAAAATCGAGATCAATTTTATATTCAATAAAGTTAATGCAATAAGATAAAGTTGTTCAAGTAATTTAGAACTAGTACGTAGTATAACCTTGCTAACAAACTTGCAATATCATAAAAAATTGTTAAAAAATTTCTAACTTTAAAAGAAAGTTCTCAATCATAATCGTGTAAATCATCGTCTAACTCATGTATATATTTAGAAATATAAAATTCAGAAATCAGTGATTCGTATCATTCACGAGATTTAGTAATAGATAAGTTGAGTTCTCTCTATGACCTAGGAGACATAAGATTGTGGTGTCATTTATAAATTACCACCACCAAACATAGATTCAGCATAGCTATTGGGAATCATATGTATAAAAAGAAATTAGAGGGTATAAATATGAAATAGGAAATAATAGATGAAAAATTGGATTGAGAATGAAGTAAAAAATAAAAAATTAAGGATTGATTATGAACAATTAAGTAATATTGAATAAATTGATTAATATAAAGAATTGAATTGAGAGTTAAAAATTTTAGATTGTGAAACGTAGAAGATAGATCGTAGAGAATCGATGTGAAAATGAGTTAAAATAGTAGGTATTTATAGAGTTAAAAAAAATTAAATAAGTGACTTGGGACCCAATATTAGATTTTCTTAGTTAAACGTGACCAAACAATCACATTTTCAAAAAATATAACCGTTCGGTCGAAAAATAAAAGCGAGCCCATGAGCACAGCTTGTGGGCAGGACAAGGAAGGGGCACTCGCTCCATGAATTGTTCATCGAGCTTGACTCGTCCAAATATTTTTTGGACTCGGCTAGTGTTTAAGTTAAATAGCCCATGGGTCGAGTCCAGACAACTCTAGCGAACAAGCCGATGACTCGCTCAACTCAATTGCCACCGCAGACTTACCACACCAACATAATAAGTGTCAAGTCTAGTTCAATGTATAGCATAAATGAGATTATCTATTGTCGATACATAAGATATTCTACTTATGAACTCCATCTCTTTAGGAGTTTCAAGGTATTGCTCTTTAGAAAGTTGGATTCCATGTGTAGGGAAAATTGTATGACAAATCTGAAAAGTATTCTGTCAACATATAAAACTTAGGATAGAGCTATCAACTCTCAAAATCTAAACGCCTAGAACATATCTTGCTCCACCCAAATCCTGCTTAAGAAACTGTTAGGAAAACCACGATTTCGTAAACAATATCAACAGCTCAACGTTTTCAATGGTAAAATTTCATCAACATAAAATATCAAAAAAAAAAAAAATACTTTTTTCCTCAAACGGTCATAATACTATTATAAATTGAAAAATTCCATATTTGTACTACATCTTGGTAGAACATTACTCGTTGGTCATGATGTCCTTGAGATTATACGTTTCGATTAATTTTTTAGGCTATCAAATAAGAAATAAGTTTGTTCTCAGATATCTTGTATTTGATAAGAAATGATAATTAGAATGTTATTGCTTCAAAAAGAAAAGGGGGGGAAGGGGGGGGGTGGGGATTCGGATGTCATCTGGTAAGCAAATCGATAGGAGCCGTTGGATTCAATCCCTTTTTCTCGAGTTATTTAGGGCGCCAATGTTATGAACTCATTGATAACTTACTGACAAAAATGTAAAATAAAACGAAGGAGTGATTCAACTTCAAACTCTTCTTTAATTAACAAAATAAACTTTTGGAATATAACAGCAAAGGTCCCCATCCTGATCATTTATATATATCAAGGTAGCACATAGATCCACGATGGAAGATTTTGAGCTTGTCTTTAATTATAAGTCAACATTTTGTTAAAAGAATAAATTTTATCATAGCCGTGAATTTAATTTTTTTTTTTTTTTTTTTTTTTTTAAATGGAAAGACAAGTTGGCACGTTGTAGAGATACGGTTGAATGCAGGCAATGGCAGTTTTGAGCCCTTGAAGGGACCAAAATATAACATACGTGAAAACTTGGGGATTTCTGTTGTTAAATTAAGTGCAATGTGAAAACATCCTACATCATTAGTGTTAAGAATCAAATTTTCTTTCTTCAGTGTTTTTAGTTACAATATGAGAAATAACAAACTTGGATAGTTTGTTGTCTTTGTTACATTTAGAGTCCATTTGATAACATTAAATTTCATTAAAAATGTCATATTCGAGAAATTTGTAATCTACTTTGGCTATTTGATACGAAAATGAAAATCGAGTTCGAATTCCAAGATATAAACACTTAAAGCATGTTTTCGACCAATTGAGTAAAAATCGAATTCCTATGGTTTTTGTGTTTTTTTTTTCTTGTCCAACTTATATAGAATTGATTTGCCTTTTTCACATTTGCAATCAAATAAACTCCTAGTAACGTACAAAACTCGGTTAATAAATAAGTATGAAATTAAGAGGATATAAGCTTCTATTTTACAAAATCATTTTCAATTCAGTAACGACCTGTTTACAGGAGGACGGAGGACTAGATGGTAGGGAAAAAAAGGAAAAGAATATCTATTAGGCTGCTCAATTCTTTTCAATACTACGAAAAAAAAAAACCATTCATTTATAATTTTTGGATCAAAATATTTGTAGAAAGTACTGCAAACTTAGAGAGCTAAAAATTGTTTTCGAGCAAATGTACTTCCCCTTCCCCTATTCCCACCTACGTATGTAGGATATTTTAAGAAATGCACATCTTTCTTAGTAACAGGGTCGGGGGAAAGAATAGGAAAGGTAATTCTTTTTGGCAGTCCAACACTAAATTCGACAGAACTTCAAGGTCCAGACAGGTTTTTATAAAATTTCTGATAGAATAGATTAAAATCTCGTTCAAAATTATTCTCCACACAGTAGATTGGCTCTCATAATTGAATCAACAAAACTACTTGATTCATAGCTTAACAAAGAGACTAGCGGAGGGCAAAGGCAAACCATTCAAGCACTAGTATAGAACCACCACTGCAATCCTTCTTATTGTTCATCTCTCCTAAACAACCAACCACAGAGCTTCTTCTTTCCTGTTTGGGCTTCATTCAAGAAAATGCCTTTTCCACGCTCCATGAAAAACCTTTAATTTTATACGACTGGGACGAAAGAAGATAGCCCTAAAATCCAGCTGACCCGACTAATGAAGAGTAGGAAGCATTTTCATCAGCTGTGGGAGTCTGTCGAACAATCTTATTCGATTCTGCACTGGTAGCTTTTAGTATTTCTTCGGGTTTTATATTGGCCATATCACACAGCTGTAACCTTCTGCTCTTCGCTTCTTCAATATCACCTTCCCAGCAAGTCTCGGTAATAATTTCAACGGCTTTATCTACTTTGTCATCTAACATTAGATCTCCATTTTCTAGAAGGACTAGATACACTTGTTCTGCAGCAGACTTTCGAATCTGGGAAAAATATTATAAACCTGATGAGTATACTTCTCATGAGCAAATAAGCAGGTTTCATTTTAGTGTCAAATATTTAATAGAGCATTTTCATTCTGAGAAAATTTTCGGACTATAGAGTAAGCAAATGGCAACTGCGTTACAGACCTTTGGATAGCGATGATCAAGGAATGAAAGAAGTTGAGAGAATGCACGGATGTTGATAGGCTCTAAAATCGAAGCAATATACCCAAGTATGGCAATTCCTGCACATAACTTTGAGAAGTCCTTTGATCTTCTCAATTCGATAGCAAGAGAATCCAAAACACCAGCACAGAAGACGGTAGTCTGGGCCTGAGAAATGACATATAAGATAACATACAATGAAATGATAAAAGGGCAGCCAAACATGCATCTAAACTCAAGCTACCAGTTGATAATCAAGTTGAACCATGTCTGAGAGATTTAAAAGGTAAAATTGCAATTTACCTCCTATCCTGTGGTGTAAAAATAGACTACCTCATAGTATTAAGAACAATGTTAATAATACTCTTTTTCAATTAACTTGGACTAATGGTTTTAATTTTTTCAACACGAGAATTGACCACTGTAGGTATGATGCTCACTCCACAAGGGGGAAAAAAGAAATGAAAACTCGAAAACTGTTCAGCCAAGTTATTGGAAGAGGATAATCAGCAAGGTTACAGGAAACACAAGATGGTGAATTCCTTAATATCAAACCAAAGATGAGTAATCAGCAAGTTTCCAAAAGCACGAGCACGAGGCGGTGATTTGCAATTTTCGAATTATAAAACATACTTTTCTTAGAGCAATTGCATACGTGTAGTACTAAAGTTGATGAAATGAATGGTAATGTGTACTTGTAAGTAACACACAAGTCCACCACTTCATAACAATATCACTAGATTTGAAAAAGGAACATCAAGTCACTTGTGTGCAGCAACTAATATAAAAGAAATCTTGCAAAGAGGCTATAACAGGATTTCTCTAACTATGATGGCGTGGAAAATTGAAGATAGAGCACAGCCAGTCCATTGATCATAATGTGCTTGAGCTACTGATTGACCTAGGTAACAGATGAATTTGTAGTATTGTAAAGGTGCATGATAAACCAAAGAAATTACAAAATCGAAGAAACACGTTGTCTGTTTGATTAGAAGCATTTCACCTAATTCCCACAGTTACAATTATGAGTGAATAGAAAGTAATCCACTATCAAGTACAAAGGCAAAGGAATAAACAATATTCAACTTTGCAAGAACTAAAAAATGGAATTTACTAACCTCCATGTTCAACAGTATCTTTTTGCTGAAAAGGATCTCGATAGTCTGAAAAGAAAATATATATTATCAGCTTTATTTTCAGGAAATAATGCAAAAAACCCAATCAACCAGTCGTAACATTTTCAAAAGATTATTAAAATAAAAATAGCTCTTGGAAACTTTTACATCCAATGGTAGCAGTTATTAAATGATGACCATCTTCACGTAGAGTCAATTCTCAAAAAGTAAATTAATTCCTCAACCTGTGTCAACAAGAATACGAGTTCTTCCTATCTCTAGCATGTGTGCATACCTTGCTTCCAGAACATATTGAGTGTCCTATAATGCTATAAATCTTACCCCTTTGTTTTAGCAGGAACCCACAGTTCCTTCATAATTTCTATCCACATCAAGGGAAAATGAATTATTAGAAGAAAATGTGGAACATAGTGTCGTTCCTTGACCAAATCAGAGAGAGTATTTCATCCCCCCCCCCCACCCCCCCCCCCCCNCCCCCCCCCCCCCCCCTTTTTTTTTTTTTGGTTCATCCAAAACTTCTAAGAAAATTAAAAGAAAGGTACAAATGAGTTAAGCTTAAATTTCAGAAAACAGAATTGCATTATGGTCCTACGCTTCCTGTATTCTCATATAAAAATTTCTAAATACAATAAATTATTATAACACGATTTGGATAGCAAAAACCTGAGGCATTTAACCATAGGGCCAAAGTTCCCAGACCCTATCCGTGTCTTTCACATTTTACCTTATTCAATAATCAAACAGTCACAAGAACATGTGACTAAAGTAAGATGCATGATATCTTAGTTAACAGTATTGCATCAGACTATTTATTCCACTGCTAAACCAAATTCCAATCTTCGAATCCTTAAAAGAAAGGCTCACATATAAAGAAGATGGAAGTAGATCAATCTACAGGCTTTCATTCCTTCGTAGAACTGATGAAATTAAAGTAAAACTACCTATTGCTGTAATAATAATAATAATCTACTAATTAATTTCCATAATACTGGCAAAGTAAATGACAAAATCCATTGCACTTCTGAAGCAAAGAGGAAGTGAATGAGCACAATCTAATGTTTTAAAGACTGAGGAATCAGTGAGCTCCACTCAGTTTTATAATCAATTCTCTTAAGCTAATCTCAATAAAGATAAATTTTTGAAAACATTCTCAAACGACCGATCATCCAGGCCTCTTCTACTTAAAAAAATTTTTAAAAATAAAAAAAAAATGGAAAGATAAAAGCATCTTTAAACTAATTAGCACTAGGAAGAAAAAATTGAGAGAGAAAACACTACTGCATTAAGGGCAAAAAAAATCATGGAAGATAAAATTCGGCATAGGCACTGGAAAAAGACAGAGAGCGTGTTTGGGAGTTGTTTATAACCAGTTTAAACTATTAATTAGTACATCGAAATGAATGATGGATAAGTGGATACTAAGAGTGGGTCTCATGAAATGTGATAATAAAAAGTAATTTGACCGATTATAACAGTTCATAAACATCAAGCGACAAACTTTCTTGTGAATTATAAACTAGCCACCCGTGAAAAATCCCATTTTCTTCTTAATTCTTTGGTAGCTGTTGAATGTTCAAAATTACTTGCACAACCCCAATCATGAAGATAAGCAATGATCATCATTAGTTTTGGTGTAATTACCTTCAAAGTGGGTATAATGACTCTGTCACATCTTTTGTACTTTTGTAGAACCCATAGTATATCAGTAGACAGAGCAAACTCCCGGGAGTTGTTCTGCCCTTCAGTTTCAGTACTTTGAAGATAGTCTAACAAAGCACTGAGTGATGCCTTTCTCAAAGAATCTTGTAGCCCGCCAATAGAAATGACCAACCCAGATATTATGTATTTACTGTAGCAACTAAGCTGAAGTAGTTGAACAAAACGAGGATATGAGAACGCGGGTACCTGCAGTGAATTTAGAATCATCTCATTTATCAGGACAGTAAATAATCAGTATCTTAAAGGAGATTTCACTAATTTAACATACCCCCCACTTAATGTCTGCCTCATTAGGAACTATGTTTTCTAGTTTTCCTCTGTAATGTATGTGTGGTACAAAAATTGTTTCGTTGTACAAAATTCTTTGGAGTACCCTTGCCGCTGATTCCCTTATTTTATCCATCTTTTCTACAGCTTGCTTAGCAATGCCTCCAACTAAATTGGTTGCCAGGTTTGCATCAAAAAATGATTTGATCTGGTCATTTTGCGCACTCTCTTTATCATGCAGCTCTGTGATAGAATTAAATCCTTGTGATCTACAAGGAATATCCAATGAATCTCTCTTGCATAGAATGTATGTACATCTTTCAAGGCCATCCATCGCAGCCTCACGAACCCAAGAACCTACATCGCCCCTGTTATCAACAGAGTAATCATCCAAACCTTTGAAAAGGCAGCACATCACTTCACTTCTGATGAAAAGAAAGAGGGAAATGCCATCTTCTTCGGAAAAGAAATCAGAAAACTTTTCTGCATCCGTTAATTTTTCGCAAACGGATACAAGTGCTTTGACAGCATTCACACGTGCTTCAGCATCCCTATCTTCAGGATTATCCTGCATATATGCGACTGTTCAGTCAGAGTAGCAAAAAGGGGGCACATATTGGAGGTTGGTAAAGAGTTTTACACTTTTCCCCCTGTATAGAAGGCAACTAAAATATACCTCAACTGCACATGAACTACAAAGCTTCGATAATACAGGCTTCCAGTCTCTAGCTAGCAACTGAAAAGGCAAAACACCCAGTCCTAGTGCAGATCCTCGTCTTGAAGCCACATTGGGATCAGTCAACTGCTCAAGGTATCTTGACGTGATATCATTCACGCCTTTGCTTTCCATGGACAAAAGGTAAGCAGGAACATAATGTTCCAGGGCTTCAACAGCAGCATTCTGCACATTCCAGTTTAAATGTGACACAAGTGTTCAACATTTGAAATGCGCTCTAAATAGAGTTTATGTGCAAAAGAAAGACCTGTATATGAGAATTAGGATGTCTCAAATTCTCAGTAAGTGTATCAAGTAAACTTCGTTTTATTTTTTCTGTCAAATGTACTTGAACTCGAGCAATGCATTCGATGAAGCGAGAAACAGCAGAACGCATTATTTCTCCACCTTTTCCACGATACAGCCTTGCTTTCTCAATGGCTGGAACCATATTAGCAACCATTTTCTGCTTATCTGCAGGAACAAAAGTAAAGTTATCCGATAGGCCACCCATACATTTTATGTATGAGGCGTCACAAGAGGGCAGCTGACTAGGATTTGTTATTATAACTAATTCAGTTGTTTTGGGGAAGGGAGTTAGTTGGTTAGAAGAGAATAAAAAGGCAGAGACGGAATGAGAAAAGGCATTCACAGGGTGGGAGAAAATCTGTGAATCATTGGGGAGAGGGGCAGCTCTCAAAACCTGCCATATTTGTTGTCGATTCTTGTTAATCAGTCCTGTAATAGTCGAGTCTATGAAATACATATTGTATTTCCTCAATACTCATTCTCTTTCCTAAAATTCTGCGCCTAATTTTACTTTTCTCCATTTCTTTTGTCGTTGAATTGAGCATACAAGTGCAGATTGCTCAGGCAAGTTCTATCATTTGGTATCAGTGCCATCAACTCATGGGTAGACGATGCCAGTGACGAGAATGGATACAAGTGTTGAAACACTCGAAGCTTCGATCTCTCAGATTCCGACGTCGGGAGCATCAGTGCTGGAATTGCAGGGAAACGTGGGACAACTGAATGCAAGATTAGGGAGGGAATTGGAGAAGATGAATAAGAAATTAGAAATGAGTTTGGCGATGGGTCGAAGGGAGCTGAATGATGGGTTGCAGACAATAGCGAAGACGATAAGAAATTTGTCATTGGATCCACCGCCTATAGTAGGAGAAGGGAGTGGGATGAAATCGACCACTGTTGATGAGCAAACCGTGAGCAAACCGAGTCGGAGAAGTCGGGAGTGGAGAAGCAAAGCCTTGAAATCAAGGAAGGCCACTACCATAAACTGGAGCTGCCCTTGTTCGATGGGATCGATCGAGATTAGTGGATTTTCAGGGCCGAAAGATACTTCAGCATGAATAAACTGAATGATGTTGAGCGGGCTCTAGCTACTGGTGTGTGCATGGAGGGCACTGCTCTCTTGTGGTTTCAATGGGAGGATGGGAGACGGCCTCTGCACAGTTGGGAGGATCTGAAACGACGTCAACTGGAAAGGTTCAGGGACACTCAATATGGCACTCTGCATCAGCGATTTTTGGCAATCCGACAAATAGGGATGGTAGCAGAATTTCGGGAAAAGTTTGAGATCATGGCAGCACCGCTTAAGAAAGAGAATGAGGAGACATTAGAAGGGATTTTTATCAATGGGTTGGAGGAAGAGCTGCAAGCAGAGGTATTGATGGCTAATCTAAAAGGGCTGTCCCAACTCATGGATATGGCACAGAAGATCGAGGACAGAAATGTGCGAATCGGTAAAGCTCAGGAAAAGGTGCACCCCCGCTGTAAAGGCTCAACTATACTCCTCCTGCTCGAGTGGAGAATCAAACAATTTAGTGGAATCCTCCTCGAGGGAATATTCCGATGGAAAAGGCAGGAACACCCTCTACAAATACAATCCGGGATTTAAGAAGCTAACCCAGGCAGAAATACAAGCAAAAAAGGATAAGGGATTGTGTTTTTGATGTGATGAGAAGTATACTATTGGGCATAGGTGTCGCAACACAGAGTTGCATGTGTTACTAGTTGATGACGACATTAAGGAGGGCGACAGGGAGGACTACGTGGAGGAGAAAATAGAGAGAACAGAGCTGGAGGGGGTTGAGCTATCCATGAATTCAGTAATCCGTTTAACATCTCCCAAAACGATGAAGGTGAGGGGCACAGTTAATGGACAGAAGGTAGTGGTATTGATTGACTTTGGGGCAACCCATAATTTCATATCTATAGAGTTTTTTCGAAAATTAAAAATAACGGTCACTGAAACTAATGGGTATGGAGTGCATGTTGGTTCGAGAATGGCCGTTAAAGGAAAAGGGATTTGTAAAGGAGTGGTGCTCTACATGCACACTATTGTATACATCAAACATCCAACTACGCTGGCATAAGGTACCTTTGACATCTCTGCAACTTCTTCTTCATTCTTTGGGCACTGATTATTAGACAATCTGAAGTGATTTGCCAGTGGTGTAGCAACTAGTTTTGCATCTGACATGCTAAACCTCTCTAACACTTAATTCAAATAATTTTTCTGAGACACCCATAATTTTCTAGCTTTCCTATCTCTGTTGATCTCTATGCCAAGAAATTTCTTAGCTGGTCCCAAGTCTTTCATATCACACTTACTGCTCAACAAAGATTTCAATTTGTCTACCTCATTCATGTTCTTAGCAGCAATTAGCATGTCGTCCACATACAACATCAAGAAAATATATGAGTTATCCTCAAGAACTCTATAGTAAACGCAACAATCATACTCAGAACGACTGTAACCAATTTGAATCATATGAGAGTCGAACTTCTTGTACCATTGCCGTGGAGACTGCTTAAGCCCGTATAAAGACTTCTTCAATTTACACACAAGATTCTCTGTTTCTTGTTCCAAAAACCTTTCTGGCTGCTCCATAAAAATCTGTTCCTCCAAATCACCATAAAGGAAAGCAGTCTTCACATCCAGCTGCTCTAACTCCAAATCAAAATTAGCCACCATTGCCAAAATAATCCTGATAGAGGAGTGTCTGACAACCAGGGAGAAAATTTCATCATAATCTACTCCCTTCCTCTGTAAGTATCCCTTTGCTACTAATCGAGTTTTGTATCTTTCTCCTTCCTTTTCTGACATTGCTTCTTTCTTTCTGCATACCCACTTACACCTTATCTGTTTCTTCCCCTTTGGAAGCTCCACCAAATCCCAAATATCATTTTTATACAGTGACTCAATTTCCTCCATCATAGCTTCTATCCATTTAACTTTCTCCTGACTACCAATCGCATCCTGAAGAGTTATAGGATCGTTATTGTTAGTAATGAGTGCATAAAAAATCGAATCCTCGAATCCAACTTTGCTAGTGGCTTGATAGCGCAACGTGGTCTATCTAAAGCAAGACTATGATACTGCTCCACCTCTGACCCAGTACTATCTGCTCCCTGATCATTAATTTCTGTGTTAACATTGTCTAGCTCTACTTGCACCACTTGGCTCTCGTTTGAATTGAACTTCTCTTTATCTAGAGAAGTTTTGAGCATGAATGCTTCATCAAATACTGCATCCCTACTTATCACCATTTTCCTTACCTCTGGATCCCAAAACTTGTATCCCTTTATACCTTTTACATACCCCAAAAAAATGCATTTTCTTGATTTCGGATCAAGTTTGGATGGCTGATCACTAGATACATGCACATAAGCCGGACAACTAAATACTCTCAATTCAGAATAATCAACTTTATTACCTGTCCAAACTTCCTCTGCAACTTTTCCATCTAGTGCTGCTCGTGGTGATCTATTTATGACATAATATGTCATGTTCACTGCTTCCGCCCAAAAACTCTTCGAAAGCCCTGCATTTAGCCTCAAACATCTTGCCTGTTCTGCAATTGTTCTGTTCATCCTTTCCGCTACACCATTATGCTGCGGTGTCTTACGAACTGTATAGTGCCGCTAAATACCATGCTCCTCACAAAATTTCAGAAACTGTGAATCTGTATTCTCTGTACCGTTGTCTGTCCTCAGATACTTAATTTTTTTGCCCGTCAGGTTCTCTACTTCTGCTTTCCATAATTTGAACTTGGCAAAGACTTCAGACTTGTGCTTCATGAAATATACCCAAACTTTTCTAAAAAAGTCATCAATGAAAGTAATGAAATATTGAGATCCACCTTTGGACAACTCCATCACTGGTCCCCAAACATCTAAGTGCACGTAATCAAGAATGCCCTGTCTTATGCTTTCCCATCTTAAACTGTACTCTGGACTGTTTTCCAAGTACATTGAACTTGCAGAAATCCAGCTTGCATGATTTTACCCCCTTCAACAAATTCCTCTTGTGAAACTCAACCATGTCACGTTCTCCTATATGCCCCAGTCGCATATGCCATAGAAAAGTGTCATCTGACTCAGATTCTGCTGTAGCAACTCCACCTACAACTGTATCCCCGTGTAGTTTGTAGTTATTCCCTGCTAATTTCTGACCCTTCATCACAATCAAAGCACATTTCTTCACTGTTAGAGCCCCAAACTCTGACTTATAAGAGTAACCATTTGTGTCTAAAGTGCCCAAAGAAATTAGATTCTTTTTCAACTCAGGTACATGCCTAACATTTTCCAAGGTCCTTATCACACCATCGAACATTTTAAATTTTATGGACCTCATTCCAATGAGCTTACATGATGTAACCATCAGAACAGATCCAAAATTACCAAAACAATATGATCGAAACCAATCCCAGTGAGGACACATGTGATATGAACAGGCTAAATCAAGTACCCAACAGTCATTTAGGCCCCGTTTGGTGCCCATTTTTTTAAAATGCATTTTTCACTCTCTTCTTTTTAACCACACATTCTTTATTAAATTAATATTACACGTAAATCAAAAACTTTTCTTTATTTTTCAACCACACATTTCCCATCAATTTACTATTCTAAAATGCATTTTTACAAGAATATGGGTACCAAACATCCTCTTAATTTTTCAGAATTACCTGCAGAGACTGATAGCATGTCTCCATCTCCAGAATCCGAGTCTCCTTCTGCAACACTAGCTGAGTTTGAGGAACCATCACCTTTCTTTTCATCACCATGCTTCTTATTGGGACAGTCTTTCTTAAAGTGGCCATCTGATGGTATTTGTAGCACTTGACTTTTTTCTAATTATGATTCCTAGATTTTGATCTTGTATTCCCTCTATAAGAACCACCCCTGTCCTTCCTTCTCCCACGATCGTGGTAGCCCTTTACGATCAACCCTTCACCCTGTAAAGTTTCACCGGTACGCAATTTCGGCTGGGTGTAGGCTAACAGGGCTGATGTGACTTCCTCCAATTCGAGAGTCTCCTTACCCCACGTCAACGTGGTCACCAGATGGTCGTACAAAGGAGGAAGTGAGCACAACAAAATCATTGTCTTGTCTTCATCATCAAACTTGATTTCAAGTCGCAATAGATCGCTGATGATTTGATTGAACACATTGGTGTGTTGAATCAAATCCGTACCCTCCAACATCTTCAGCCCGTACAGCCGCTGCTTCAGATGCAACTTGTTCCTGAGAGACTTCGACATATAACAACTCTCCAATTTCTCCCAAACCTCCGCCGGAGACTCAACGTCCATGACGTGATACATGATTTCATCCGTCAAACAAAGTTGAATTGCACCAACTACTCGCGCCTCGAGCTCTTCCCAATCGGCATCTGACGTACCCTCTAGTTTCTTCCCAGATAGTGCCTTCACCATCCTTTGCTGCGCCAACAAATCCTTCACCATTCGCTGTCATAATCCGAAATTCCCAGATCCGTCCAACTTCATCACATCGAATTTTGCAATCGAAGAACTTGTCATCTGAATCTTGCTCTGATACAAGTTGTTGGATTTCGTGCGCAATATTAAAGAGATGAAAAAGAAAATCAACACAAGAATTTACGTGGTTCGACGGTGTGCCTACATCCACAAGAGTGAAGCGGAGATATCTTTATTCAGTAGTGAAAAATAGGGTTACAACATATTATTTATACTAACCCTAACCTGGTCCTATATAAGACTTTAAAGCCCATACAGGAAATACTCATGTACCGTACGTTTTACGTATGAGAGGCATCACAAGAGGGCAGCTGACTAGGATTTGTTATTATAACTAATTCAGTTGTTTTAGGGAAGGTAGTTGGTTGGTTAGAAGAGAAACAAAAGGCAGAGACGGAATGAGAAAAGGCATTCACGAGGTGGGAGAAAATCTGTGAATCACTGAGGAAAAGGGCAGCTCTCAAAACCTGCCAAATTTGTTATCAATTCTTGTTAATGAGTCCTGTAACAGTTGAGTCTATGACATACATATTATATTTTCTCAATACTCATTCTCTTTCCTAAAATTCTGAGTCTAATTTTACTTTCCTTTTTTTCCTTGTCATTGATTGAGCATACAAGTGCAGATTGCTCAGGTAGGTTCTATCATTATCACTAACATTAATGAGGCAATAACATTGTTTATAAAAGAAAATCACCAATTAAAAAATTGCAATCCACTAATTATGACCATTTTTTCTCATCAAGGATCATGATAATCACATTTTTAGCTGCCTTAGGTGAGGCTTAGTTGAATTACAAAATGACCCAACAGTATTATTAGATTATAAAACATGAAAGATATTTCTTTATTCCTTCATAATTAGTAACTGGTAGTTGCATTGATCTCACGCTATCAAACATTTATCTATAGTTTCGTTAGAAACAGTAATTATTTTTATTTATTGATCTCAACATAAATATATACTTGTGGATAATAAGATTGCTGTGTATTGTAAATTGTCAGAAGGCCAAGTTATGAAAGCAGATGCCTACATATCTTAAAATTTCATAAATGTCCAACACTTCGTTTCAAGTGGGAAGTTGAAGCAGCTCTTTTCTCATAAAAAAAGACTTGGAAACCATTTTAAATAGCACATACTGCAATTCTTATGATCTCTTAGAATTGAAAAACAAAAAGTATCAGCTGTAATTCGTATTAGCCCATTATAAATCGAAAAGAGTATTGGTTACCAACCTGTTGATAGAACATAGTTGTCCTTGTGCAGAGCCAAAACAACCTCACCAGTGGCTAAGGTTGCACCATGCCGCATGCACAAATCGGACGACAGAGTGCAAGGAATTAATTTCCCCAAAACCACATTGGCAAAATATTCAGGCTCGAATTTCACAAGCGATGAGAGGGCATTCGCAGCAAGTTCTCTCAAACTTTTGTCCTTTATGCATCAACATAAACTATGAAATCATTACCAAAAGCAACCAATAACAGGAAGATAGAAGAGTACATGCCTATTTATAAACAAATTGTAATAACGGCAGTCATTACTCATTAGTAAGATTACAAGGGCAACTACTGTTCAAGACATTATTTAAATCATGTAAATGTGACCTAAGACCAATTCTCATCGCCAATCATTTAAATGAAAGTTTGCACGTGTTAACCTCTGACATGAAAAATATTAATCCCCGACGTGGGGGACGTTTTGAAGACTGATAGCCTAAGGTTTTATTTTATAGATTTTCTAGTATTTTATTAATTATTTCCTTCTTAAATTGGATTAGTTAAAACACTAAATAAAAGGGCTTATGCATTATAATAGTTTGACTTGATTATTGAATAATAATATATTTCTCTCCAAAAAGCTGCTTCTCTCTATAATGTTTCGTCTTTCATCTTCTCTCCTCTTTTCTCCTCTCCTTTCTGCCCGTCCCCTTCTTCTACGAGTTTCATTTTTGTTCGATTGTCTTCTACATCAAGGTGACATGGAAACTTGAATCAACGACCTTTGTTTGCTTTGATGTTAAATCGCATCATCTAAAAGCTTAAATTATTATGGATGTAAAGAATTAATTTATTTATATTTAACATTGAAGATTGAAATGTCATTCCATTGTAGTGCCACAAAACCACCATAAATTTCATCCAGTCATAACAAATAACTTTTATATAATATCCAAATTTAACTTTTGACCAACCATATATAAATGAAGGTAATAGCGTGCAATAATATTAGAGGTATGTGAAAAAAATAATAATAATAACAATAACAATAATAATCTAGAAAGTAAGAACAAAGCTTCATGATTTTTACTTCTAAATGTTGAATAAAATATGCTGAAAATTTTACCTAAATGATGGCATTAGTACCACTCTTCTGAATACTCCAGTCCATAAAACATAGTTCAATTGAAAATTCAAAGATCTAACATGACAACTCAGGGTGAATAATAAAATAAAAGCTTAAATGGAGGCCAGATTGACTATACCCAATGAGAAATCTTGCTGTGCATCAGTTCATCCACAAATGGATAAAGGTAGCCATCATATTGAGCGATACCAACAGCAGCATGAAGATATGAATTTACACGAGAGGACAGTGCAAAATAATCTGCCATATTTACTATATCAATGCCATGGGGAAAATTTCCTTGTCTCCCAACATTTTCCTGGAAAGCAGCTGCGGCTGCTCTTCTGCAATTAACCTAAGCATCATGGTTAAAACTTCAGCATCATAATAGATAAAAAAGAAAACATACACAACAGGAACTATTTGTTCCTGAAAAGGGAAAACTTATACAAGCACCTCACGGTCGTAGCAGGCCACAACTAAAAGGTGTGGAGCTAGCTGTTCCATCACACTCTTCATGTCTCTGTTATAATATGAACGACCAAATGCCCAACAAACATAAGCAGCCGCATCACGTACATGAGATCCAACACTATGTGGTCCTCTTCTAACATCATAATGTAATGCCTGTCCAAAGAATTTCTTATCAAACCTCTATAGCAATAGATTAATAAAGACAAGGAAAACGTATCTATTAGCCAAAGTGGAACCGAGTATGCAAGTCAAATGAATCAACTCATAGAGAAACAATCAGACTGCACGGAATGTGACAAAAATCTTGAAGACACACATTGCTATGAAAACTTTCCCACATAAAGAGAAAAGAAAAGGAAATGTTGCAAATGAAGTCCAATGATGGGTTTATCTACCATTCAATGAACAATACTGGTACTTTACTGGAGACCCATTGACGCAACAATACCAGCTCGATGTTATTTTTTTTCGTTTCTTCTTAATTTCTCTTTTCCAATTTTTCCCTTTTCTTTCTTCTGTTTGTTTTAAAAATTAAAACTACATGATAATAAGGGTGTCTTTGTCTTTTTCTTTTTTTCTTTTTTGTCTATTTTTTTATTTTTCTACCTAAAATCCTTAGGCATGGCCTGGGAACTGCATCTAGTATAATTTATATCAAGCATAATGTTGAATATTCCAGAATATTGGAGAAGATTGGGTGGTTTATTTGTTAAATGTAATGATTTAACTATAGTTAACTAGTATGTTATTTCCTTGTATGAAGACTTGGCATATATGGTAGGTACTCTAGTCCTATATAAGGGTTGTACACGACTGTTGCTTGAATATAATTGCTTTCTTTATACCTGTTGTGGTCTTTTCCATTCTACTGGTTTCCACGTTTTTATGGTATCAGAACTTGGGATTATTTGAGCCGGCGGAATGGACAATATGGCCATGACTGGTGCACGCAGAGATGAAGATTCAGGGACCTTCTAAACCATCTCTACAAGTGCACCTATTACACCTAATCAACTTCCCATTAATCAGTCCGAAAACACCTCTCTTCAAATCACTACTACTCGGTTGAATGGCAAGAACTTCCTTCAGTGGTCTCGATCTGCCCTTATGGTTATTCGTGGTCGTGAGCGTCTTGGATATGTGACCGGAACTACAATTAAACCAGATGAAGGTGACCCAACCTATGCAACCTGGGATGCTCAGAACACCATGGTAATGGCCTGGATTGTTAATCCTATCTCTATTACTCTACAGCAAAGGAACTTTAGGATGCTTTAACAGTCGCCTTCTCGGATTTAGAGGACTCTGCCTAGTTGTTTGAACTCCAAAATAAGGCAAGAAACCTACGTCAAGGAGATCTTGACGTCACACAATATTACAATTCTTTGCAACGATTATGGCGAGAAATCGACATGTTCGTTCAAATAAATTGGGACACGCCTAAGGATGCTATAAAATACAAGAAGCAAGTGGAGGAGAGTATTTATGACTTTTTGGCAGGGTTAATTCCATAATAGGATGAAGTGAGAGGCAGGCTACTGGGCCTAAAACCACCTCCAGCAATTGATGAAATATTTGCTGAAGTGCATAGGGAAGCAAATTTCACTACATACACCCCATGTCCTGAAAATCAAAAATAAAAGTTGCAGATGGTACATTGGCATCCATTGCAGGAAAAGGAACCATTCCTATCACCTCCTCTCTCACTTAAATCTGTAGTTCAACTGCCTAAACTTTCTATTAATTTGTTGTCTATTCATAAACTCACAAAAGATCTAAACTGCAAAGTTATATTTTTCTCTGATCATTGTGTCTTTCAGGAAATGGTTACGGGGAAGACGATTGGGCTTGCTAAGGAGAGGGAAGGACTTTATTTGTTGGACACTGGTTGTGGTGGAGATGAGGATCGATTACCTCTATCTCATTTATCTGAGAAGCTCCCACCAAATAAACTTCAAATTTTGCTTCAACATTATCGTTTAAGACATCCATCATTTTTAGTTTTAAAAACTATGTTTCCTACTTTATTCAAAGGTGTGGATGAAAAATCTCTTCATTGTGAAGTATGTCAGATCACCAAACATCATCTCATTTCCTTTTGAGTTCTAATAAATCTATATATCCATTTTCATTGATTCATACTGATGTCTGGTGACTCTCTAAAATTCCAAATGTTACTGGAGCTTGTTGGTTTATCTCTTTTATTGATGACTGTACTCGTGTTACTTGGTTATTTCTCATGAAAAATAAATCAAACGTTAGTACAATTTTTCCCAAATTCCTGAAACTCATTCAAAACCAATTTGATGCCCACGTCAAAATTGTCAGGTTAGACAATGGGAAAGAATACTTTAATCAGTTTTTGACACCCTTTTTCCAGAAAGAAGGGATAATACACCTGTCATCTTGTACAAATACACCTCAACAAAACGGGATTGCGGAGCGAAAAAACCGTCACCTTCTCAAAACAGCACGAACCTACTATTTGAAAAACAAGTGCCTAAACACTACTGGGGGGAAGCAATGTTAACTGCTGCTCATCTTATAAACAGATTACCTTCAAGAGTGTTGGGAAATAAAACTCCAGTTTTCGTTCTTACACAATTATATCTATAGTTCAATAAATCTAATCAATTACCACCTAGAATATTTGGTTGCGTCTCTTATGTTAAATTAGATCCTAGAGCTCTTAAATGTGTCTTTCTTAGGTGTTCTCCTACACAAAAAGGGTACAAGTATTATCATCCAAAATCCAAAAAGTTCTATGTTAGTAAAGATGTCAAACATATTCTTGAGGATTTGTTAACACAGTCCAAACTATATTAGTGATGAGAAAGAATCATCATTGTTGGAGTTTAAAAAGGAAAGATATTAGAGACCACTATTATTGGGCAATGCAAAAATGTAACTGTAAATATGCACGTTGATCAATAGACAAAAGGAACACAAGCTAAATGAATTTTTGGAATCCTTAACCACAAAGAAATGATAACACATAACCTTTATAATGACAGGAACAACTTTAGGGAAACTGATTGGTAAAAGCAATCCTCTACGTGCCAGTTCTGCCAATGCCAAGCATCCACCATGCCAAGAACCATCTCCCTACAACATGAGAATACATTATGTTTGAATTAGAATAAGCAAGAAATCTTGGCTTTAATTCTCAAGGTACTTCAAAAAAATTTAGCTCTGAACTAGGTAGGAGCATCATCCTCCTACCCAACAATGTGGATCGAGCACAAGTTGGGCCAGATTAAGTGAATAAATGCAAAAATCTTATAATTATGTGAATATTTTTTATCTTCTTGATCAACTTAAATTAAATAGAAATTTGTCTCAACAGAGTAGCATAATGATTAAAAGGTTAAAACCCAACATTATGTAATAAAGGTTAACAAGATTTAAGCAATAAATTTGATAGCTTCAATCTTCTTCTTCGTTAATCAGTGCTCAATCTTGAATGCAGGAAAATCTCTTTCAGTCATCCTCTACACATCATCTATAGTATATTAAAGTATCACATCAAGGGAAAATCATTTTTTAGACGATTTTAATCCTCCTACAATTCAATTATTTCAATAATACCTTACTTTTCGTTTTTCGATGTGTAATAAATGCTACATTATTATTGTCATTTATGAAATTTGTGTAAAGTCCCGAAAATTTGCATATACTAGAATTTATGTACTTTTATACTATATTTTTTAAATTTGAAAAGTTAGGGGACTAAAATGATAAATACAATAAATTCAATTTTAATTAGGTCAAATATTCAAATATTGATAGAGTAAAAATAAATATATCAATATTGTACTCGTTGGATAGCTTGTAATTAATTATGTATATTAGGCTCTAGAAAAAATCAATTCGGATAAATTAGCTTCAAGATATTTCAGTTTGAAGAAGTTGATGAAAACTAGTTTTGCAATTTAATTGAAACCTTGGATGAAAATGCACCGTGCCACGTGTCATGCGTATGGAATGTTTCATTTTGATTTTTAAATTGTTAGGGGTTAGTGCACGTGTATGCTAAATGATAGATATGTAGTTTTATTTTAAAATGATTTATTTGCCTAGATTGTTGGAATATGATAGGAATGGGTAGCCACATGTTGATTAGATAAGGAAGAAGTAATTGTTGGGTGACATGGTTGATTGACAAGACTTGGTCTAATATTTTGTTTCAAATACGGTTTCCTCAACTTTTATCCCATTTAACTACCATATCTTACATGTTGCCCACTACATGTCATCTATTGGGAGTTAGGTTATATTTTCCCATATATAGATACATAATATGATAGAGAGGACAAAATATATATATATATACTTACACGATAATCACAGCAGAAGTAGAAAAAGAAAAATAATAAGTGGACATGATTCTTATTTTGTCTTCTAAAAATCAAAGCAAGTTCATAAGGTAGAATATTGAGGTGCAATGTTTTTCTACCCCGTTTAAATATTTTTTCATGTTGATGAATTTTATACTCATGAAAGTTAAAGTTATAATATGATATAAATGATATGGTCATTCCAATACAACAATATGATATGATATGAGCTCTTACCGGATTCAAAGATATGAGACGGTATGATTTTCTGATACATGTTTTAAAATTCTTATACGGGATCGCACCATTAATTTTTATATCCTACTGAGTATTCCCAATGTAATCACCCTTTTCTGTACCCCTCATAGGTTAGAACGGGTCATGTCGGAGCGCGGTGTTCTATGGTGTGGTTGTGCCTCGTTCGCTGGACAAAAATCTAGAAATTTAGCGTGTAATTTTATTTTTATGTTTATTGCAACGGACATTTTTTTATAATTAGATTCTCGTATGTGTTTGTTTGCATATGAATATATGTAGACCGTATTTTAAATAAAGTTTGAATTGAATGTTATTTCTTCTACTGATTTCACTGCTTAAAAGTAATTGGATATGTCTTTACTGCCTAGTTCATGTCAAAGATTATTTTTATGTACTTTATTGTGACTTTCCCAGAATTCATGAAAACTTATGGTCAAAGCAATGATGTCCTTGTCACATCACACTTTCATATGCCTCCCTTGGGCATACAACATGCCAAATTTGGAGTTTTGAATATTGATAAAGGATTGACAATTTCATGCATGCCAACATTAATGAATTACAAATTCCACTGTATAGATCTGCTCGCTGGGAAAGAGAAAATAGAATAAGTCTTATTATCATTATTTTAACAGGGGTAAGAAAATGAAATTTTTGGTTAGTTAACATTTGGTGCATTGTGTTTTTATCCTATCTGTAGAGTTTTTCATAACAATTAAGTAATTAATTATTTAATGGGAAAATATTCTAATAGTATGAAATTTACAAATTTACTTGCCAACAATCCAACTTTATTTGACTTCCTAAGAATGTACCAGTTAGAAATTTAAATTTATGAATATAAGTAGATTCAATGAATTTTCACTTAATGAATCTTAAATTATATGAGTCCAGAGTTATTATAAATGAATTTATTCATATTCTTGTATCTAGAAACTTTAATTGGTGTTTAAATTTATGTATTAACAATTAATTTTAATGTATCAAATGTAATATAAAAAGATTACTCATTTATAGTATTTTATCATTACAAAAAATTCGAATCATAGAAAGTAAGTTTCAAGAGTACAATTTTCTTCTCTTAAATTTCTATACTAAATTTTATTTTCTTTAATTCGTTGGAGATTCATCAAATCCGCCAATAAATTAATACCAAATATTACTTTTACATCACTTATAAAGTATTTTAGAATAATGTGCAATGCATGTTCAACTTTGACTAGTGGGACTAAAACATAATAAGTCTCCAGATTACCAATTGTCAAAATATACCTGCAATGAACCACCATATTGACTGACCAATTTTCTATGTATTACAAAAATAAAACAATACAATTTGTAACCTGCCTAAAGAAAAAGAAGATGAAAAGAGAACAGAAAATATGAAATTGGTGTAATATCCTTCCTTTCAGAGTATTTATCTTCTGACCTTCACATTAAACAATTTAGTTGTCTCCACTCTAGCTCAACAAAGGGGTTGGCAACGAATTAAATTCACCATTCCATTAAAAATTCATTTTGTTGTGAATCAATTTCCTTATCATATCTGAAGAACACCTATTAACTAACATTCAAATGGCCATGGGTTGCCCAAATTACAGTGATGCACAGTTGAATCCACAATATCAGATGGAACTGCAGTGTCTTGAGTTCATTTTAATATCATCTGATTTAACTAGCCTTCACAGTGAAGGATCAAGTTCTCATGGATTTGTTGCTTCTCCAATGATAGGAGGATTTAATTTCCGAGATGTGGTGGGTGGTATCCAAAAGTATTAACATTAATTTATTAGAAAAATTTTACTTGTTTTCAGAAATCCAAAATTTCTTTTCAATAAAGTTGAAATGAACAGAATCAAGAAGTATCTGTATCAGGGTGGATGGAGTAATAAGTTACGATGAAGGTAAAATAAAATGATAATCACAAAATGTCTTGTGCTTAAGTAAGATTAGCATTGTCCATGTAGTAACAGGAATCCACAAAATTTTGATATTGACAGTTATCGGACGTCCAAGTTTGTGAATGTTAGGAACTCGAAAAGAGAAGGGCAAAAACAGAGAAAGAAAGTCTAACCGTGAATAACAAAAGAGTGGCATAAGAAAAAGAAAATAAAAATTCACCAACATACCTCATATGGAGAAAAACGCTCCAGTACAGAAGACAGGACTTCATCCGAAAGAGAATAAGTCAAACGTGAAGTGACGCGGCCAATACCTTTTGCAGCAGACCAACGCACAACAGTGTCCTACATTACCAAACATCAAATTGAAAATCCGCACTTTTGAAGTTGTCTTTCAATAAGCCCTAGTTTGATTTTGATTTTTTGAGAATAACTTTTATCCCACACTCATTTTCAATTGCGCATTCTCTAAAATAAATTTATTTTTCACGATTCCAAATAACATTTTCCTACTTGTTAACCACTCCCGTTCACCCAAGAATAATAATAAAAAATAAATAAAACAATTTCAAAGAATCCAATCAAACAAGGGCTAAATAAAGTTCATTATGAATGTCCATGGTATGAGAAAGCTAAGTCAAGAATATATCCCAAATAAATGCTTATTTCCAATTCTTGGGAAAGGGTAGAAAGTAAAGAGATGACTGTTGCATCACATATATGATTATCAAAAGAAAAGCTTTAAACTACTTAGCATATAAAAGAACCTCAACATCTAAACATACCGTATCTCTCAATCCTGACAATAGAAGTTCAATAATCTCTTCTACGATTTCTGGAACATCCATATCTTCATCTTCAAGGAAGCTTTCACCTTGATAGAAACTAGAAGAGTCCATGTTTACAGCATGATTTAACTGATTACTATCTCCTTTCACGTTTGAGGAGATATTCTCTCCAAGAATGCTGTTTCTACCCTACATGGATGAAATGCACAAATTCAAGAAATAGAAATTTTTAAACTCTAACACAACTCTACAATTGAAAGAGTTCCTGTAAAAGGAACCCAATGTAATTATGCATAAACTCACTTTCACATACACTAGGATTGGGGAGATGATGTAGGACAGAGTTCTACATGCATTCACAAAAGTGAGATTTTTCACAAGTTCCTCCAACAATATTACTATAGTTTTCCGAATAATTTCTATAAAATAAATAGGAAGGGAAAAAGTAGTTACAGGGAAGCTATTGAACTGGAGAAGAAAATAAATAAGTTCCCTCAGGCCTCAGTAAAAATTCTATTGACATATTCATTTTTTGTCTGTTGGAAGAATAATCCATAGCAAAACCTGTGACTTCTTGTCTTTGAGTAGGAGTGAATGTTGTTTCCCAATTTGGGCAAAAGGTACGAAGCTCACAACACAGAAAATATTCGAACTCTGTTTTCTTATGCTGAGAGTAAAGGATAAAAATCAATATCAGAGTACCACTTACAAGTTCAGTGGTTCTCCATGTTTCACTTGACACTTTTTCTAGTTATTTCTTCTGTTGTTAATTATTTCAAAGTTCAGGCTCAGTCCTCAGGGAATGCTAGATGTGACTAGCTTGTCTACATGTTCCTCTCTTTTGTTTCCCCCACTTCTCATGTTCCTCTCTTTTGTTTCCCCCACTTCTTCTCCTCTAGTTCTGTTGTTTTCTTTACATAGTGAATTTATCGATTACATCAGTAACAGTACTCTCACACTTATTTAGACCTTTTAAGTTGATCAAGCTATCATTAGACCTTTGTTTAAAAAAATGAAGTCGTCATTTAGAAAACCCTATTTATATAACTCTTCTGTGTTTCTTTTCCATGAGAGCAAAGTGAGGATGTACTTGAAGAAGTGTTGAAGAGCATTCACAGCAAATATTCTGCAACTAGTTTTCTTCATAGAAGTTTCTATTTATGTTGTTGCACAAATCTCAAGAACATTAAAAGGCTAATTTAAAGACTGTTCAGTGATCCCTTAAACAGCAAGCATGCATATCAGGTCATAGACAACATATATTTACAAGAATCCAACTTATCTAACCGCATAACACCATGTTGGAGAACAATGGGGTAGGCAAGTAAGCCCAATCCTCTGGGTAAGCTTTACTAGATACTTGCGAAGTAAAGGACTCCGAGCAGCAGACTTGGACTTTATCAATGCTGATGTGTCATTCCAAACAATGGGAACGACATTGAGCAATGATTTCCTGTTACCAATCTGCAATCAAATAAAGAGTAGTCAATATTCAGAAGCAGCATCTAAAGATAAAGTAGTTGATGAAATATGACCTAAGAAGCATGAACCAGCTGATAGGGATCAAGAAGGAAAATTCATAAACATTGTTGGATATAAGTTTTTCAAAGAAATGAAGGTCGTTAATTCTCTCCTTGTTATGTTGCAGATGCTTTATTTACTCACCCTCTGGTTGATCAGCAAGTCATACCATTATCCCCAAGATCTGGACCACATTTTATACAGATGAAGGGAGGCAACTGCGGCCAATAAAGGGTGCTAAGACAGTGAACCAATTTCACAGCTGTGTCAAAACTTCGCACCCCACCCAACATGCACAATTCTTGATTGCATCTCGTCATCTCCATGTTTCCATCTTGTCTCAGGTGCATATTTTGTTAATTAATTGCATTACCAGATATACACATCTAACTTAAAAAGCAGCTGATGTTTATTCTCTTGCTCAATTTTCTCCTCTTTTTTTTTCCCTTTGATTTTTCATTTGATTATGAGCATGTTTGGTAATACTTTTAAGTGCTTATAAGTTGTGGTCCTAAGGAATGTGCGGAAAGTATGTGGATAGTAAACTATGGCCCCTACGAAATATGTGCATAAAAAGTATGTTAGACAAGCATAAATTATAATTTAAGCTTTGGCAAGCATGCAATATGTTTGTTATCGGGACATCCACATTGAGACATGTCAAATATTGGCAGGGTAATTTTAACTTCCTATCCTATTTTCTGTTTCTTAAATTCCATTTCGAAATTCAGATCAGTTGCAACAGATTCCCAATGTTGGATTTGTTTCCTAGAAAAAAGAGGGTTGGGGAGGGCTAGGAAAAAAGAGGGTTGGGGAGGGCGGGGGGGCCTTTACGCATTCTTTCTGCTGGGGATCAACCCAGAGTGACCTAGTTTATCTAACTTTCCGGCTATCTTTGTACTGGATTGAGCAAATAGATTGATAAGTAGGCTATTCAGGCAGTATTCAAAAATCAAGCACAGTGTATGGAAGATTACATCTCAACTTTTGGTAAGCTATGTGGAAACATAATGTATCAACTTTGTGACCACATCTTATAATGATTCTCAAGAATAAGATGACATCACTCTAATGATTACTCTCCAGACGATCATCTGCCTTCCTGGGATGTGATTTTCATTCAATCAAGTGCTCTACAACGCAAGGAGTGTTTGAATTTCCATTTCAATTCTGCATTCTTTACTGGTTCAAGGTAACCTTAATCTAGCCTCCACGTGCATTAAGCTCAAGGTTAACATTATTAAATAGCAACTTTTTGTAAAAGCTAATTTGAGACATGTCAATCATTCATAATATCCCCCCAACCCAAAATAAAACCGACCCCCAACATATATTAGGTTCAAGGATATGAAATTAATAGGTAGTAACTTTGTCAAGGTTCATTTGACAAATGTCAAACAATCATATCCCATTATGATATTCTCTAGTTGACCAGTTTAGTACATAATGACAAAAGCAGTCGTTCATATCATGTTATAAAGGGAAATGATCAAGAAAATTAAAAGAGAACCTTAAAAATGGCAGCAAGTGCTTCAACTGCACCTAATAATCGAAAATGGTCAATAACATTGTCCTCCACAGAAGAGAAAATTTCATGCGTCCAATCAATAAAGCTGAAAGAAAAATAAACAGAACTAAGTGAAACAAGTTTAAACATAATATAGAACAACAAGAAGCATGTAAATTAAGTTCTAACATTTGAGCATGACTCAGGATAGTTTAATTTAGTAATGTGGGCATCATTTGCGAAGCTCACTCAAAAGGATCTAATATTATATTTAAAGATAAAAGCGCGTAAGGCACATAATAGAATACGAGCTTATCTATTTACTTCACATCTGACTGTAGTAATGACTGCAACAATATTGAAACCATTTTTCCAAGACATTGAGCATTCTGCATTTATTTTTGAAATAATCCCTCGAAAAGATTGAACTCTTTGCAGGACATGTGATCTTGCGAGCATGAAGATAGGATGCTGCAAGTTCAAGGTTCATTAAAAGGAGGAGTAAAAATCGAGACACCTAATCATAAACTAGATGGAATCATAGTGATGCCAAGAGAGCGTAGGGGATTTCTAGAAAGTGTTTCCTTGACTCGTGTCGTTAACTGGTTAGAACCGAGCTTATTGGCACATCCATATATAGATAAGTTCTGATGTAGCATCATTTGGATAAAATGTTTAAAAAAATGAAGTCAATAGATTCATCATGCAGAAATCTGTTGTCAAAATAGGCATATCACATTGTGAAAAGAGAAAATAAGACCTGGTAAATGCCTTTGACATATCCGGGCGTGTCAAAAGCTTTGAGAGCAGCAACCCAGCTATAGTACGCATTGGACCTGCATTTGATAGATAGTCTTTACAGAATCCTAAAATTTTCATCACTAGCGGTGGTGGCTCATCTCTATGAACATAGTCGTCATCAGCCATACTAGTATCCACAGATGATAAATCAAAAGGTATCAATACAAGTATAGACAGCCACAGAAGCATGATGCATTTTGCTTCCATCTCTCCAGTACTTTCTTGCCTTAATGATGTTGCAGCATTTGTCTTATGGCATTTATCCAAAAGAGACACCGCAAGTTCAAGATCTGAAACCTGATGGGGAAAGAACTTGATGACAGACTTGTATCCACAAACTGTTACCAGGGAATAAATAATGATGCATAAAGTCTTTATAATTTCAAGAGTTTCCTCAGAGGCAACAATTTGTTCAGCAGCTCTCGAGCGGACAATTGACATTAGTGGTAAAACTATGCTCTCGAGATAAGGTTCTAACAGCTCACCTTGTTCCTGATACTTGTCCATCTGTACATAAAAACTTTAAGAATACACACCTTACACCATAAAGCATGTCAAAATTGAAAGGAAAAAAATCTAATTTAGTGAAAACATATGCAAAAAGACCAAGAAAAGCCAGCATTGTGCACCAATGCAAATTAGTCAGCAGCACAACTATATTTTCAGCATTTACAACAAATTAGATCAATAAAATATAGAGAAAAACTAATGTATGTTCAGTAATTATTGTTAAGCATACACTAAAAGATGAACCAGTAGAAGCATAATTCCTCGTCTTTATATCATATATCATCAAAGAAACCAGGAATAAGCAAGCTATCATCTTCTATAATAATTCGTAATTTATTATCTTTTCTCGCAAAAGAAGCCTTGAGATGGCATATTTCTGAATAAATCTCTTCCCCCATTTTATTAAAGAATTAAAAATATTCCCAAACACATCAATAATAATTACACACTAGTTCTGTTCATTATCCAATTTCCGAAGTACAAAAATTTTAATCCCCTACCACTGAAAGGCACAATCTGCAAAGTATTGTGCTGTAGCTTCAGTTCTCAAATTGTGATATAACAACTTGACAGAAGAATACTTATCATTAAACAATCAAAATTCAACACAAATTAACTCATGGGAAAAGTTCCTCGAGGTACAAGTGCCAAAGCATAAGGAACAACTGAATCGAATTGATGGAACTAATAGCTGTTAATAAATAACAAAAAATTCATACAAAATTCATCCATGGAAAAAGAAATATCGAGGTACAAGTGCCAAAGCACAAGGAAAAGCAAACAGACGTACAATGGATCGGATCTTATGGACGGATGACAAATCGCAGGAGCCTCGATTCAAGACGATGTCGTCCAGCAGCGACTTGACGAGCTTCCATTCTTGGAGGAAGTATCTCTGCAGAACACTTTCTTTCGATTCATGTTCATCATCTTCTACTTGCAATGATGATAATAACGAATTATTCTCGTTATTTTCCATTTTCTTCTCCAATTCTTCGTTCCTAATCGCCATTTTACACAGATTGAGCTCAGCAAAAGAGAAGAGATAGATTCGAGATTATTTGAGGAAACTTAAACTGATTTTGATTTCCCGCGTGGATTTGGGGTTTAACACATGATGGATTTTGTTGGCCAAGCAGATAGGGAGTACTTGTTTTAATCAAGCAAAAAATCATTTAATAATGGGAAAATTGTAGTAGCGGTTCCTCACATTTTCGTTTTTTTCAGATTTTACCCTAATCTTCATTTTATGTCAGCAAAGGTTCCTAACCTTTCATAAATATACACATGAAATCCATCTAGACTAAACCGTCCAAAACACCGTCAATTAACTGTAAAAACTAAAGAATCCACATCCTATAAAATCGTCCAAAACACTATCAAAAACACTGTCTCAAAAAGTATCAACATAAAATCGTCGTGGTAACATATAGTTTAAAGAATTTCTAATTCAACTGACGGTATTTTGGACGGTTTCCGTCCAGATGGATATCAGATGCATATTTATGAAAGATTATGGACCTTCACTGGCATAAAACGAATGATAGAGTAAAATCTAAAAAAACGAAAAGGTGAAGGACCACTACTACCATTTTCCCTTTAATAATTAAAAATAATACCTATTAAATATCTAAAATAGATTTATTGAAAATTTATACATTTTTTTCAAAATTTCCAATAATAAAAATAATAATAATAAGTTTCAACTGTAAATAGAAATTTTTGGAAGTTTCCTTTATTCAAGACTTCAAGCGGATGTTTTGAATTTAGGATGGATGAAATGAAAAAATTAACCTTTAAGTTTTAATTTAAAAGAATTTTAGAAAATTTTGAAATAAATTTAAAAAAAAAAAAAAAGATAATAATGTCCATCTAGGCTCGCGTTATCGGTCAACGATTGTTGACCACTAAGTAAGGTGGCTTAGCATTTTCGCTACGCATCTCACCTAGGTGACTTTAAAACACCGTGTTTAACATTTGCATTTTTAGGCAAAAATACATATTTTTATTTAGCCCCCCGTTTCAACCCCATTTACGAAAACTCATTTTTCTTCAAACTCATTTTCAATCACATATTCTTTTAATAAAATAATTTTACAAAAAGTCCAAAAAATTTTCATACATTTTAACTACACATTATTTAAAAAAATCATTGTTATAAAATCTATTATCCCAAAAAATGGCGGCCCAAATTTTCTTACTTCACAACATCTAACCCTATTATATTTTCATCATCTTGATTTTGTTTAAAAGTTTTCAATTGTTCCTTGCCCATTGAAGTTACCTTATCAATATCAACTGATCTTTTTATATGGATCTCAAGCAGGTGAAACCCACAAGAAGTGGTAGTTGCTTTGAAATGTTCCTTTAAGTTGATTTTCAATATTATTTGGTAATTGCCTGGTTGCCTTTGGTATAACTTTTGTCAATTATGTAATCAGAGCAAAAATTGTTGTTAATATGTCAATCTCGTGAAGTCCTCCAACTTTCTTTCTACTTGATTTATCAGAAAGCCGTAAGGAACTAGTGATTGCCAAACCCTTCAAGATGTCATGTGCTTGATGCATTGTGCTCTTGGTTATTGATCCATCAAAAGCAGAGTAAATAGTGGATCTACTAGTTGGATTGAGTCCAACGTAGAAATATTGGACTTGGAGTCATTTTTACACGTATTGTGGATGCTATCTAAGCAATCACTTTTATATCTCTGAGGCCTCATTTTATTAAAAATCATTTTGTGCAAATGCCGTGATCTTGTCTCTTAGTCTTGCAATCTTCTTAAGGGGAAGAATTTATTCATGAACTTATGTGCTAGGCTATTCCAAATGGTGATGTTGTTAGGTACGAATTAATCCAATTGTTCTATGCAGCTTTCCACAAATTTTATAAGTATAAACTTGATCAGGATGCATCACTAGAAATGCTTGGATACTCGATAGAACTGTACATAATCAAAAACCACAAAAGATGGGTGTTTGGATTATTGTTTGGTTTGCCCAAAAATTGAATTACATTCTGAAATATGTTGATCACATCCATCCTTAAATGAAAGTTTGCGTGCCTAAATGCTTGATATTCTATGATTATTTGATTTTCGACAAATGGTGAAGCCTTGAACTTTCTCATGAGCCTAACATTCTCATAATTATAATAGAATTAGACTTTATGCAATCTCGACCATTGTTACCTCTTCTTGTTTTCGGTAAACTTCTATCTATTTTCTTTGTCTCAACTTAAATATTTGTTCGATCTTTGGATCAAATGGAACTAGATAATCATGTCTTGAACTTTGCATACAAGAGATTGAAAAGAGAGTAAACACTACAATAAATAATAAGAAGTAAAATTTAAAGTAAAGCAATAAAATTCAAATTTAAGTTATAATGAACTAAAACTAACTAAATGCTAAAATCGAAGACAACAATGATGAAACCTTGATCCTAAAATTTTGCAAGTTTATAGTATTGTATTCAAGTAATAAAGTATGAGTAAAGTATCATTCACACGAGAAATAAGTACTTAATTTGATTCTAATTATATTAACTCTAATCGAATAATAAAATTTGATAGACTTTGATACTGACTAATTAAATATATATCTAACTGTAAAGCATTTACGTATTGAGAAGCATTTATGAACTCGATAATGAAAAGCACTAGGACTTTGAATCTCCCTATATTACTCAATTTTAATTACAATTCATGAAATCAGCAACACTTGTGTAACGGTTCAAAAATCTAAGCTAACTCGTTACGAAGATTTCACCATTAGTAAGACGGCAATACCTAAACTTAGGGTAGTAATGCCTATCACAGTCGGCAATACTCGAAATTAGTACGAAAGCACGATGTCACATTTAGAACTATATGCAAGTTAAGAAGTGAAAATTATATTAGATATATGTTAGTGAAATGTGTAGTATTTATTTATTGCACAAAATGTTGAATATTTTGTTCATAAACACATGATTCTCATTTTGCTGCAACTTTAAGAGTTACGAGTATCCATTTTTAACGATTCAAAAATTATTGTAAAGCTTTCAACAAGATCAATCTAAAAGCACGTTAAGTAAAATTTATTAATGAGAAATAGTTTTTCAAAAGGATTATTTTCAGATTTGGAAAGAAAATAAGGTTGTTTTAATTTTTCTCTTTCATAGCACTTGGCATAGAATTTCTTGAAGTTTACATGTGCACTTTTCTTGAAAGGAATAAATTGAACCAGCATTTTTACCTAAAAAATCCGATTTAATAAACTTTAAAACTTTGTCTTTTAGCTTATGGACTTAAGTACTTGGCTTGGGTTCAATTTACATGCAATTGAACACTGTCAAGGGGTTTCTAAACATTTCACATGCATGGGCAGCACTAATGAACGAAATTTAACACTAACTATGCCCAGGAAAACATCACTTTAGGCAGCATATGTTATGGTCAAAAAGTTGTTGGAGGTTGCTTTAGTTTTGGCGCAAGAAAAGACATACCAACAATGCCATGCATGGAAGCTCATAGGCTAAAAACTGGGTTGCTTTATACTTTATTTTATGCCACTAGATAATGGTAAATTTAGTTGTTCTCTATTGACATTGATGATACATTTTCAGTATAAGAATATCAAAAATAAATCTCATTTTAATACACTACATATTTTATGTTAATTGCGTAAAATTATTTATAACTGTTACTCTTCATATACAAAACTTCTAATGATAGCCACGTGGAGGTATTACGTACAAACATTTGGCAACTAAACTAATCAAAACAAAGAAGAGGCAAGAGTTGCCTTGTGGCTGAGGCACTATCTCCATCAGGTACTTTTGCCAAGGTGCTCTCCCTCAGAGCCAAACCTCTTCACATCCGAAGCTCTATCTCTTATAGTTGAAGTGCTTGTTCTCTTTAGAGCATGTTTGATGAATATCTTTAGGAATGATTGATATAACATTTGTATTAATAAGTGTCAGACATGTTAGCCTAGGAATGTAGGGCCGCTGACTCATAGCAATGTATTTGTCAATGTAATAATGTATGATAGTGTAATGTGAGACTTCGGCTAATTAGATGAAGCCACGTGTATCTGATCCAACGATGAACACTTCATCTTGATTGCTATAAATAACAACTTTTGTAACATTGTAAAGGATTGAAAAATATATACAAACTCTATATGCTTATCATCATTTTTATTTTCTCTTGATATTAGTTTGCTTGATGCCACGCGATTTATGCAACGTGATTTTTAAACCGCAAGTGTACGGTGTCAAGTTTTGTAATATAGTAAAGAAGTTAGGATGTCGAACCCACAAGGATTGATATTCGAATAAATTGAGTACTATAATTATTTTAACTTTCCCTTTATTTAGACGATCAAATTTTGAGTCAATATTTTTATGCTAAATTAAAATTAAATAAGATGAACGATGCAAGTAAACGAGGGCAAATTATGAAGTTTCTTATCAAATTATGAATGCCTAGGAAATGATTTCACCGTAGATTCGACAATATTTTTCAACCATATAACTATTTCTATCAATCTTTCCAAAATTTATAGGCAAGAACACTAAAGTGATTCTATTTCCCTCTCTTGAGTGTCAAATAAAATCTATTTTTATATATTACTTCCAATATCTCTATTCCGAATTAAAAATATAAAAATTATCAAGCACGTGGTTCTTAATTAAAACAAGCCTCAAAGATTCGCACTTTTTCTCGAAACCTACGAAATCTAGGTTATGTTGTCTTAGATCACGCCTAAAGTTGCCTCTCTCGAGCGCCAAAATTTATAACATCAAATCAGTCAATTAATGGCCAGTTAATTGAAAGCATTGCGTACAAACAACATAAATAATTAAAAAGGAAAGATCAATTGAAATAATTATAACGGAATCCAAACACGTCTCAAGTAGGCTACATCATCCCTAGAATAATTGTTTAGATCATAATTGAGAAAATTGACATGAATAGATTAATAAGAAAGAACATAGAGAAGAAAAGGAGTAGAAAAACTCGTTTTTGCCGCTCGATTTCTTCTTCCATTGTTGCCAAATTCTCTCACTTAACTTCCTCTTCTTTAATTGTATTGACTAGTCGTGGATTTTGTCTCCAAATTTTTGCAATTGGCCGGTTAAACTCCTC